GAGATTCACAGCCCCGTGCAAACCTTGGGCAATCTTGAAAGGAGGGTGAAGGACAGGACCAGCAGAGCCAGGGGTTTTCCAGGAGCAACCCAATCTTTATCCTGGTTTCTCCCTTGTCATTCAAAGTCTCCTAAATTCTGCACTTAAACCTGTATTCCCATCAAAGGACCTGTGAGCACCTCGTTGTGCACAACACCAGCCTCCATCAGGGACACGAAATCTCCCTTGTCTCTTCCAAACTCCAGCCACTTCACAGTCCAGGTTAAATCCCTCTTTCCAGACCAGCAGAGCCTCAATCTCCCCAGCCACGAACACATTCCCAAATGCTCCCCCATCCCTCATCCCTCCTACTAGAGCTCTAGAGAGAAGTTGTCCTTAGTGGTGGGCCCCCAACATCCACTAACAAACAGCAGAAGCTGCTGATGAAGATGCTGGTGAAGATGCTGGTGGCACAATGGATGCACTAGCCAGCTATGAGTCCATTTGTCCTGGGGCATCTATATAGTGCCACTAGAAAATGTCATCAGTGGGGTTGAATGAGGTGACTCTTAAAAGGTCTCCAGCCCAAAGCATTCTGTGATTCCAGGAGAAGTTGGCCAGGCCTCTCTGCATGAGTCGTCACAGGGATGACTGAGGGTCACCATCCTTCTCAGCACACCCTTCTCTGCTCCTACAGATAGTTGCCTCTCCAGAGGAAACAGGCAGTCAGCTCCTGCTTGTCCTGCTCCAAGAAGAGCTCGAGGTCACACCTCCAAGCTTTGCTGCCTGCAGAGCATGGGAATGCAAGGAGGGGGCTGCACAAAGGCTGATGGGTGGACACAGAGCTCCAGATGTGACACAGAAGTGACAGGCCCCACGTTGTGGGGTGATGGGCACAAGGGGAAAGGCTGCTCGTGCAGCAGCAGGTACAGGAGGACCCAGAGCCTCTGTTCAAGGGACGTGGAAGGGGTCTGGGAACTGGGCCACGGATTATTTCTAAGAGGGAATTTTGGAGGAAGAGGGGGACAGGGGCAGGGCTGGTGTCTTCTGAGACCCCAGAAGCTCAGGGGCCAGCTTCATGGTTCAGCTCCCAGCCACAGGAGAGTTTCTGACCAGCAATCCCAACTGACTCCAGGGAGGACGTTACACCCAGAGACCCAGACAGAGCAAACCCCTCCCAGCCTCTCACCTGGCCATCCTCAGTGCTTCTCACCTGGCCATCCTCAGTGCTTCTCACCTGGCCATCCTCAGCTCCTCAGGACTGACCAAGAATCCCTTCAAGAAACCCAAACCTTCCCTTCCCACCTCACAGCCCTCCCCGTTGCCCAAGGAGAGCAGCCCCCATCCAACTCCCATCTCCACCACCAGCAGTGGAGGGGGGCTGCAGGAACACACCTCAGAAGAGGCAGCAGAAGACAGGTCAGGCCGGTGTGATGCCTTCAGGGGCAGGAGAAGAAGGGAGGCAGGATCCTGGAGCATCAGGATCCTGGAGCATCAGGATCCTGGAGCATCAGGATCCTGGAGCTGCTCCACTCTGGCAGGGTGGGGAGGACGGTGCCAGCCTGGTCTGCCCGTGCCCTCTTGTGGCTGCCTGGCCATGCTGCACGGGGCAGACCCAGGCTCTGCAGGAGGAGATAGATGCTCCTCTCCCTGCCGAAGAGCCAAGGTCCGTGTGTTATTTTTCACTCCAGACGCCGCAGGAGCCCAGAGGAGTTTGTTCCCCTCCACTCCAGCACTGGCAGGGGGGGCACAAGCAGGGTGGACCTTCACCACCAGCTCTGCTCCTGTGCTGGGAGCACCACTGGGTCTCCTTCTCCATGCCCAGATGACTTATCCTATAAAATCATGGAATCACAGACTGGTTTGGGTGGGAAGAGGCCTTTCAATGTCAACCAGTCCAGCCCCCTGCAGGGAGCAGGGACATCCCCAGCTAGAGCAGGGTGCTCAGAGCTCCATCCAACCTCCCCTGGGATGGTGCCAGGGATGGGGCAGCGACCACCTCTCTGGGCAGCCTGGGCCAGGGGCTCACCCCCCTCAGCATCCAACATTTCTCCCTTCTCTCCAGTCTCAAGCTCCCTCTTTGAGCTTCAAACCATCCCCCCTTATCCTGTCCCACCAGGCCCTGCTCAAAAGTCTGTCCCCAGCTTTATGGCAACACCCTTTGGGAAAGGGCACCATCATTTTAGGAAAGGATCTTTGGTGAGCATCATTGCTATCTGCTTCTCACAGCATGGAGAAGGTCCTGGTGATGTTCCTTCCCTCCACTGCCATCACCATGAGATGATGACAAGAGATCTTCCATGCCAGTGTCCACAGCTAAATACAGGAGGAGAGAAAAATGATTTTATGGAAGCCAGAGCGACCCAACTTGCCAACCTGAGGAGTCTGGGAGCTGCTGCAGGGCACAGCCACGACCAGCTGGCATCTTGGTGTGGCATGGAGAGCTGGGCTAGGGACAGGGGAACCCCTCCTTCGTCCATGAAGGACAAGAAAAGCTCTGCAGGAGGTGGATCTGCCCTTCTCAAGCCAAGCTTGGGGAATTACCTGCACAGCAGGACTTCTGACATTGGCCAGCTCCTGCCTTTGCATCCAAAGCTCTGGGCCCCCACGTAAGCAAGAGCAGAGTTGCCAGAGAAGAATCCATGATCCAACAGTCTCTAGAGAAGAGAAGCAATTCACTCTACAGCCCACTGGTCATGGCTTCTGAAAGGTTCCCACCAGTTCCACCTCCAGCTGCTGTTAGAACAGCAGGAGCCTGCTCAGCCCTGGGAGGAGGAAGGAAGACCCTTGAATGACCCAACCTTTGGGACAACCAACACAACTCATCCAAAAAAAGTAAAAGTAAAAGTGGAGTCAACCTCAGCTGAGCTGGAAGAGCTCAGCAGGAGCCTTCTCAAGAAATACCTGTGGAAAAACTCTGCTTGCTCCCAGAACACTTGGTCCCCTGGTGACCACCTGAAGCTGGGGAGCAGCCAGAGACAGGAGGGGCCAACTGATGAAGACAAACATCAACCCCCCCAAATCCCCTGGGGCACACAGGGGCAGGAGAAGCAGACAGCACCCCAGCCCCAACCCACCCCACCCCAGAACTGCAACCAGACCCTTCAAGAGGTTAATAGCAAAGGTTTATTTGCCTTTATTCAAGAGCAGGGTGCAACCATCCCGCTGTGAATGGAGTGACTTCATCTGACTTCACAATCTGTCCTGCTTGAAGTGGAGACAACCTCACACAATGCACTGCTCCAGTTCATCTCAAAGTGCTTTACAAAGGGACACGGGACTGGGGGGGATCCTCCAAACCAGAACATCTCCTGCAGAGAGAGATCAGCTCATTCCCAGCTCTGCAAGGCAGAGAGAGCTGAGATCTGCAGCTGGGGAAGAGCCATTTCCATCTTCTCCTCTTGAGAGGCTGATGTCCAATTGCCACAAGTCTGCAGACACCACCCAAGGAGAGGCAGACACCCAGGGAGATCTTACCCCAACATACACTTTTTTTTTTTCCAAGCTTTTCTCCACGTTTGGAGGCAAAATGGACAAACCCAGGGCAGCCCAGTTGATCTTCTTCCACAGTTCCTACTTGTAGCATCTCCCAGGAGAGGATGAAGCTCCATGGAGCTGAGGATGGTGATCTGGTCCTGGGCACCATGCTGTTGAGATGGGAGTCAGGACGAGGGCAGAGGGACAGGGTGACATGGAGTCAAAGAGTGCAGAAACCCCACGTGAGATGGAACCTCCAAGGTGGGTGGTGGCTGAGCTGATTCCACAGTCACTGAATAAAAGGCTCAGTTGGCTACAAAACACTGTCATGGCTTTAACACAGTTCTGTACAGACAAACCTGGGCCAGAGCTCAAGCTTCAGCAAGGCTGCTGCTTCCCAACAGCTTTGGGGACCTTCCCAGCACCTTCTGAGGCACCAGGAACCGTGGCCACGTCCCTCACACGTGCACACAAAGATGTCTCAGACCTTCAGACCTCCTCACAGGGGGTGGCAGCCCAGGAGAAGCTGCTTTTCCCAGTGGACGTGCATCTCTAGGTCTGATGTGACACCAGGAAAGAAATCTCAGCACCTCAAGACTGCCCAGCTTCGAGGTGCTCCTCCTGGAGACAAAGAACCCAGCCTGGGACCAGGGGTTCTATCTGAAGAGTGGGGCCAGTGCTGCCCAAAGCTACCCCAAAAGCAGCTCAGAGGCATCTGTCTGGGGGTGAGGTTTGTCTCCAAGAGCACCAGGAGGAGCTTCTGCACCAAGGTCTATCACAGGGCACCACCTGCCATGGTCCACACCCTTCTGGGAGAACTGCAGCAGAGTCTCTAGACCAGGAGGAAAGTCCCTGCACCACCAGCAGCCCAGCTGGGAGTTCTGGCATCTCCTTGGCTTCTGCTGGAGGCCTCAGCTGCAGAGCTCTGGCTGTTCCCCCAGCCTGGATGCCCAAACTGCAGGCTAAAATCCAGAACCTGAGCCCCTCCTTGTGCCCCAGCTGGCAGCGAGCTTCTCTTGCAGGCTCCTTCAGAAGGAGGGAGGGAATCCCAGGGCACAGGCTGTTGTTCATGGCTCTCTGTAGGGTGACTGGGTGGACCTGGATGTGTGGCTGGGAACAGCACCCTCCACCCCAAAGGATGAGATGGACAGACAGCCAGCATCTGTCCTCAGAGGCTTGCTTAGGAAGGGAAGGTCCAGGACTCCTGCCTGGCACGGGGCTGGCCTCAGACTATGCCCAAGCAGACTGCATAGATTAAAAAAATGGTTAAAAAACATGTTTATCCACTGAATATAGGAGACTCCACCCAGGCCAGTCTGGAGGTGGCCACCCCAAAGCAGCCAGGGCCAGCCCAGCTCCCAGGGGGCACTTTGGCAGCTGTGTCCCAGTGCCAGGTGGAGAGGTGGGACAGCTGAAGGTAGAACTTGTGCTTCTTGCTCCTGGATCAGCTTGGGGCAGAGGGAGGGTGGGGAGGGAGTTGCCCACTGCAGCAGAGGCACTGGAGGCTCCTAGAGGAGCAGTTTCCTTCATGCTCAGCCCTCTGCTTACATCTCACTGGGATAAAAGCCAAGTTTGGCCAGAGACATCTCCCTCCGGAGCCGGGTGACCTCCCAGAACATCAGCTCCACTGCAAAGCAAGAAAAGGGGGTGGGGGAAGAGAAAACCCAACACACACACCCCCCCAAAGCTCATCCCCAAAGTGAGGGGGGCAGAGACCAGCAGGACAAGCCCATCAGGTCACCTCCTGCCAGCTCCACCCCAGGGGAAAGGTCCCACCAAGCTGAGGAGCAAGGAATGGGTGCATCTACTCCTCCTGCTCACGCCTCTCTTCTGCCATTTAGCTGTTCTCCAGAGACACAGGGAGTACCCCAAGGTGGTCCTGGGTGCGGCCTCAACTCCCCCCAGTGTCCCACAGAAGGTGGGTGCCACCCCAGGCAGCTGCCCCCCCCTCTTACCATCCTGCCTCACCAAGCCCTGCTGGATGTAGCGGATGTAGGTGAAGAAGTTGCACACTGCAGTGATCTGAGGGGAGAGAGAAGGAGGAGGAGTCACCTATGGGACTCCTCAGCCTGCCAGGAGCCTCGGGCTCCCTGCTCAACACCTGAGAAATGCCACCACAAACCACCAGATGGGGAGAAAGCTGGTTAAAAAATAATAATAATGAAATAAATCTTAAAAAAAACCCAAAACACCAAAATTCTGGGTGTCTGCAGCCCCATCTCAAGATAGACACTCATCCTGGCTTGGGTCAGCACTGCTGTGGCCAGCAGGAGCAGGGCAGGATTGTCCCCCTGGGCTGGGCACTGGGGAGGCTGAACCTCCAATCCTGGGGGCAGTTTTGGGCATCACAGGATAAGAAAGACCCTGAGGGGCTGGAGCGTGGGCAGCGAAGGGCAACGGAGC